CTCAGAAGGAAGAAAGAGTTCAATAAAATATTTATTTTGCTTATCGTTTGATTTAATAAGAATAATATTATGACTTGCTTATGTGTTTTAACTGGTGGTGAGTCCCAATCTAGTATTTCACTACTCATTGAACATAATCAAAATTCAAAATGATAACGATCAAAAGAAGTGCTTTATTATACAAGACTGATTAAACCATAACAAAACACTAGTTTTTGTTTGCCACAAAAAAAGAAAAGCCCACTAATTTTAACCTGGGAAAATGTCTGATTTCGTTTCACCATAATAAGAGCAATGAAAAATAAAATGAGCACAGCTCTCGAAATTTCGTTTTTTCCTTCTTCACCTGTGCTTGCGTTTCAATGGTGGCATGTTCCTGCTACTACCACCACCACCGCTGCTTCTACCTCCTCCACCACTTGGTCTACCGCCTCCACCGCTGGGTCTACTACCTCCACCGCTGGGTCTACTGCCACCACCGCTGGGTCTACCGCCGCCTCCGCTGGTTCCTGGCCGCGAGTTCCCAAACGCTTTCATCTTCCTTCTCTTCCTCTCTTCCTCACTATCCGACTCATCGCCATGCTCTCTGTCTGCATTCGATGCTTCTCTCTCGAGCTCGTCCCAAGTCTTGCCTTTCTCTTCTTCTTCCTCTTCCTCTGAGTCTTCTTCTTCTTCTTCGTCGTCTGACTCCACCAGTGACTCACTCTCCGAAGCATCATCCTCTGATTCAGACTCAACCTCTACATCTGACGGCTCATAACCTTTGTCCGACTCCTCAGAGCCGCCGGATTCTGAATCGCTCCCGTCCAAGTTCAAAAACTCCCATCCTCCATCGTCAACAAAGCTCTGTGGGTCATCCGTGATAGTCTTCAGGATCTGTCTCCAGTTCAGATTCAGTTTGCTCTCGTAGTACTTGATGTCGGTAGTGTCGAGCCACTCCTTGATCCCTTCTAGAGAACTGGTAGGAACCGAGTCAATCCTGAGAACATCTTTCTTGAAGTCCTTGAAGATGATGGCCATGTCGAAGTTCTTCTGCCCAAACCCAACTCTCTCGAGATTCACAATCTCAATCTCACTCAGGCTCACCACCAGGAACGGCGTGTCTATGAGCTCAACTAAGCAGCTGGAGGTCGGGATGATGAACGCAGATGACTTGTGGGGAACACCATGGAAACCGAGCTCTCTCAGAGGCTGATCGAACTCGAGGTCCAGGCTCGCAAACTGGGGTAGTTGCCACATGTCGTTGACCCGGTTAGCAAAATGATTGAAATCCATGTTGATCTTGTTCTTCCTCTCACGTTCCCTCTGCTCTTCATCAATCTCGTCTGGATCATAGGCTGATCTCCTTACACCTCCTAGAGTCTGCACATTGTCCATCACATCCACAAAAAACTGGACGTCCTTTGTTTTCTTGGTCCCTACCATGATGTGGTTGTGCAAGTGAAAATGCAGGATGGTGGTCATCTCCTTCTCAGCCGGCTGGAAAAACGCATGCTTTATGTTCCCAAACAGGACATCCACGCGCTCTTCAGACCTAGTAGTCGAATACCTGAAACCATTGGCATGAGCTTCCAGTGTCCCAGGAATCCTCTTGCGGCCACTAAAAGGAGGACGAATCCACAGATCAGACAGCCTGAGGGGTTTGAACTTGTTTCCCGCAAGCTGAAGTTTCTCCTGTGTCACCAGAGTCGCCCTCTCAGCTCTTTCAGACTCCCGAGCATTGACTTGCCGTCTCAGAGTCTTAATCGCCTGAACCACTTCGTTGCTATGCCTTGCATCCTTGGACCGGAACGAAACCTCTTTAAGGTAGATAGCACCCTGGTTTTTCGTTGTTTTAGGGTCAATCGGGTTAAAGGGTGTACCGGGGACGTTGAAAATGATACGGATGTAGCTATTCCGGTTGGTATCTTGCTGCACCGACACTGTTCTTATTGTAGCTACATGGAATGGAACCATGCCACCGTAGATGGGTAACAACACAGCCTCATTCCTCTGATCAACCTGGAGCATCAAATCCCGAGGTTGGGGCATGTCGTTAACGTTCTTGTAGGCAACCAAATCAGATGAAGTCTTTGCATTAGACCGGCTGTCTCCTGCCCCAGAACTGTCACCAGCAAGCCTTCGGGCAGTTTCTTCATTCTTCTGGCGTGCAAGCTCTGCCTGGTGCTGCTTCCGTAGCTCTTCTTTTGATACCGCATGATCATCCGATCTAAGAGTTGTCTTCTTGGGAATGTAGCTCTCAGGACCGCTGGACCTGGCCTTCTTCCTCGGCCTATCTTCTTCTTCATCCTCTTTGAACGAGTAAGCCACATCCTTGACTAATTTGGAGCACTTAGTCAAAAGCTCCGGTTTCTGATCTTGCACAATAACAGTGTCGGCCAGCAATAGCGAGAATTTCTTGCTCTTGCTGCGGCTTTCCGACTCACATTCTAGGTTCTGGAAACCAAGACACACATTGAACACCATATGCTGTCTCAATACCTTATCATTCTTCGCATTAATATTCAACCCAGACTCTCGGAATTCAAGACCAACACCAGTCCCAGCAGATTTAGTTAGCTTGTCAGCCAACTCAGGGGCTTCCTTTTCAACCACAGAAAGGGCAGCTTGATAGACAGTGTTTATCGTTCTTCCTGGCCTCAACGCATTAATAGCAGCCTCATGTGCCTTGAGAAGAACATCATAAGCCTTGCTCTGGAGAGAATTCGCATCTATTAGGTAAGTCCTGGCGACGTTAGAGCAGTAACTATTATACCGAGCACCAACAGCACAAATGATGATACTCGCAGGGTCATAAGTGAGCAGGTCATCATTGCTTGCAGCACTAGGCTTGAGATCAAACTTCCCTCCGCTCTGAAATATAGGAGGATAGCATATGTCAACATTTTCTGCCCTCAGCTTCACGTTGGCTTTCGTTGGCTCAAGTATCGCTTTCTCCGTGACGTCCATCAAGGAAGAGTGGGTGACATCTTTCTCCTCATCAATGACATTCTCAAGTTTTGGAACAACCACGTTTTTCATCACGCTGTAGGCTAAATACGCAGCTTTCTTCACATTAATGATCTCCGTGGCGTCTTTCACAGCAAAGAGATCAGACAATCCCCCAGTTATATCTACAAACTGGAAGTTTGCATTCTTTAGCTTCTCAGTCCATGTCTCCAGAAACTTGCCTTCAGGGGCTTCACGAGCAATGTGTCCTACAACTTGGGAATCTTTACCATCACGGGACAGATCACGGATGGCGCGGAATATGGCATCCATCTGCACCGTTCCATCATCAGCCTTGGCCTTCACATGCATAATAATCTCAATCCTCAAGTCAGCAAGAGCAGGTCCTTTCACAACTTCAAGCAGAGACGCCTTGCTCTTGCTACACAAGAAGTGGATCTGCTTCGAGGTAAACACCATTATTGTATCCGGAAACTCATACCCAAGAAGCCAAATGTTCAACGCCGACGATTTCAGGTACCGCAGATCATCAGAAGGAGGAGGGGTAGCTACGGCAAGAGCGTCCGCAGAGCCCCATATGTCTGCACTGTGCTCATTCCAGTGTGCATACAAGGCTTTTGTACGTGAGATGAAATTTGGGACATCTATGGCGTAGTTATTCCCAGCTCCCGGGGGCGCTCCTGCAGGTGCTCCTGCGTTACCATTACGAGTGTCTGCCATCTGAAGAATCCAGCAGAAACTTAAGTGAGAAACAAGTGCCATATATACTCAGAAAACAAGAAAGTTAACTACCAGAGATATGAACAGACCTAAAGGCTAAAGCTTTCACTAATCAGGGATAAAACAGCGTAATACAGACTGAAACGGGACAAGGAATCGACCAAAACTTAATCACAGGAAAAGTTCAACGATCTTCAAATCGGCATAACATCATATATGATAAACAAATTTCCGAAAAACGTTAAATTGAGGAGTAATGTCGCAAAATTAGATATAAACTTCTTTTTCAGAGATTAAATCTAGGGTTTCATAGATTGAAACTAAGTTTAATCTTAAATTTAGAGTGAAATCCACCAATTTGACGAACCCAGAAGAGAAAAAAATAAGATTTAGGGGAGAAAATAAACACACCTCGAAAGTCGAATCGAATCAGAGGAATCTCAAACAAAATCAGGGACGCAACAAGAAGCACGCCGAAACCCTAGAAATCGAAGAACGAGGAACAAAGCGATTAAATTACTGGGAAATGCTGCGAAATCAAAACGGGATCGAGTGAGAAACATGATTTTATACTAAGATTCGAGCCAAATAACACGAAAAAGAGATCAAAATAAGTTGAATCCGAGGTTAAAAACAGTGAGAAATCGAAAAGGGGATGAACGGGAAAATCAAGGAGATGCTTACCCAGAGAGTTTAACGACGGAAGATAAGAACGTGGTAAGCTCCACACGACGGCGGTTAAGCCGCGAAACAAAGAAAAAAAAGTTCCGGCGAGGCTCTCGTGAGAGAGAATGACTCTAAGCTAATGGAGAGAAACGAGAGGGACCAAAGAATGGCTATTCTGCGAGGCAATTCAGAATGGGGAAAATACTTTAATTTTATATTCAAGGCCCCGCCTGTTTTTTTTTCTCTTTCCCGTAAACACCGACTTAAGGCCCGTTTTGGCCTTTAACATATTGGGCCTTTAGAACAACTTATAAACGCCCATTAACATACCCGGTCAATTTAGTAAAATAAGTTCTAGAAGTCAAAATGTGTTGGGTTGGTAGGGTTGATATTCTCTTAAATTACATGGATCAAAGTCACAAAATTGTAGCTTCCCTAGAGAAGACTTTTGTAGTCTCTTTCTCAGTCACTCTTTAGTGTTTGTCTTCTATTGGCTTTAGCCAAAGTCAAATCAAATGCATTCCATTAAACAAACGATGAGTCAAAGTCACATTATATACTTGTTCAAAGTTCAAACGATAAAATCCATATGCCATCGAAATAATCTAAGTTTTATTTTCCCTTAAAAAGAACAGTTCCTTCTTCTTATTCATCATATATTTCCAATGGATCCAAGACTGATCGCATCCACTCAAATCAGAAGCATCGAAAAATTGTATGAGGTTATACATGAGAATCCATACATTCTTGAAATCATTGATGCGGTACCTTTCATCAACACTCCTCTACATGTAGCTTCTGCTTCTGGAAACCTTCCTTTTGCCATGGAGTTGATGAATCTTAAGCCATCTTTTGCTAGAAAACTTAACACACACGGGTTAAGTCCATTGCATCTTGCTATAGAGGAAGGTCATACACGTTTAGTTCTAAGTTTACTCAAGGTTGATCCTGATCTTGTTCGTCTCAAAGGAAGAGAAGGTAATAAAATTCTCTTAATTATTTATTGGCATCAAATCATTAAAAACTTTCCTAACCATTTTACTTTGATCAAAATTTATTTACAAAAACTAAAAGGTTGAAATAGCTTTGTTTATGAATTAAAGGTACGACGCCGTTTCATCAAGTAGTGAGAAGAGGAGAGACTGATCTTATGACAGAGTTTCTCTTAGCTTGTCCCGGTTGCATTAAAGATGCAAACGTGAAGGGTGAAACCGCTCTACACATGGCGGTTTCAAACGATAGATGTGAAGAGCTCGAAGTACTCTTGGGATGGGTCCAAAGACTTCGTCAGGTGGATGCAGAATCGCTAGAGATGCAGTTTTTAAACAAACGTGACCAAGAAGGTAACACAGCCTTGCACATAGCAGCTTATCAGAACAGATTCAAAGCAGTGAAGCTACTAGTAAAATGTTATGCGGTTAACCGGAACATCCATAACCGGACCGGTTTAACCGCTCTAGACATCTTAGATAGCCAGAGAGAGCATCACACAAACAGAAAGATCGAAAACATTCTTCGAAAATCGGGAGGTAAAAGCGGAAAATCTCTTCCAAAAACCAAGAAAGTGTCGGAAATATTGAGATATCCGATTAGTTTCACTGAGCATTTGTTCACGCAGACAGCGAGGTATAGGAACCAGACACCAGAAGGATCAAGAAGCGCGCTTCTAGTGATAGCCGCACTGATAATCACAGCTACTTATCAAACAGCTTTGCAGCCACCAGGAGGTGTATACCAAGCAAATGCATCAGATCATGAAGGTCATACTAATAGTAGTAGTAAGAAGAGTGTTGTTGGTACTGTGGTGATGGACCAGAGATATTTCTATGTGCTTCGGAGTGTGAATAGTATGGCTTTCGTTGGAGCCATTTTCATGGCGT